GCATTATCTATGCGATTATCTATGCCGTCACTTATATACTAAAATAGAGGGCGTCTGGCAAACACCCGGGCCTTCACGATCCTTTTAGAAATTCATAATGTGTTACCAGGGTCACGTGACTTCCGCTGTCGTAACGCTGTGATAAATTTGTTCGTTTGGAGTAAACACGACAGTAGGTTATATAATGCATATGCATTACCGCTGACACACTACGGAAAATAAAACTTGTATTACAAATACAAGAAATTTAATTAATTATAAAAATATAGAATATTAATTTGAGGTAATAAAATAATTGATTATATTTTAAAGCTAAATATAATTAAACAAAGTACTAAGTAATTAACCGTTATTAATCTGAAAGCTTTTGAGTTAATTATAATTTCATTTGTATTGAAGTCTACTTAATAATAATTATTATAGAAAAATAATGTTTTGATGTATAGTGTTTAAGCTGGCAAAGCAATATTTATTGATCGGTGGTTGATGTGACATTACGTCACAGTGAAACTGATTTTAATCACAGCTTTATTTGTTCAAAAACTCACGTGCAATGATTATGTGTAGGCACAACCATAGGTTCTCAAGTAACACTTAAATATAAGAAGTTCTATTCATTCTACCAGTAATAAGTTTTTTTTATATATAGTTCCGAGTTTCTATTACTATTTGTACGAGTTTTTTATCAGCTTTATTTTGTTTTATTGCAGTAGAAGAATAAAAACGTCTTATTGTTACCACAGAATTTAAGATATTTTACATTAATGGACATCTCACATAACACACTAAATAATTTATTAAATCCGTCACAATAGGGTAAATGTCCCCCGATATTAACAACGTTAAAACCAGGAGTCGATTCCGCTCGGTGGACACAGCAGATAGCCCAATGTGGCTCTGCTATAATAAAACACACACATACAATATGACAGATTAAGGATTATATACAATGTTTTGCTACTAAACATTGATCAGAATGTAAGTAGTGAACAATACTTTTAATAAGCAAGACATTAAAATACGATGTAATCAATATTAATATACAGAAGTATGTATATATGATGATACGACAAGAATATCGTAAACATAAGTATATTTAAGTATGTGTACTTAACATAGTTTATCAAAGACAGATATTTAAAGAGAAATAACTTCGAGTTTATTAATGTGGTTATTTATCCCTAACCTCGCAAAGCTAACTTAATTTAATGGCACTACTTTAAAACGTTAATTACATTTACAGCAAATACACCATGGCTATCTACTGCCGTTCATAATTTTGAGCTAGTGACCTGGATAGCAGGCAGTCAGCAGCGCATTAACATTATAACACGTCCACAAGTTAAATGTGTTGATTATTTTGTGGTATTGCATGCTTCGAACCAGGCTCGCCAGCTCCTAAATCCACAGCTTTTCCACATCCATAAACAGATATTTCTTTCACTTTATATACACAAGTTTTTTTTTGTGATTTCCTAAACTAATATAGTTAGGGAAGAACACTGGTTTTCAGTTTTATAAGTGGAAGATTAGTTAACAAACGAATCTTATTTATTTTGAAAACCTCTATACTTTTATTATTGTTTCCTACATTGTTAGCAGGATAAACAGTAAGGCTTTGCTCACAAGCAATGATAAAATATACTTACATACATACATCAATTCCCTTAGGTTGACAAGTACATTTGTTTCTTCACGTTTTTTATTAAGCACAATAAAATATTTATAGTTAAGACAAAAAACCTTCACATTCTAGTATCATATCTTATAACTGCTTTTGTATCATAAATGGTTTTTAGCCAGAATTAAAAACAATTTATATTTAATTAAATTATTTTTTCATAATACTGAAGAAAATTTTAGATTTTTAACTGTTACACAACTTCTGCTGTTATCTATTTCTGTTTCTATATATTTATACAATTTTTTGTATAAAGATCAATTGATCACATAAAACCTGTCTAAACACAGGCTGAAAAACACTTCCATTTGTTGCTAACTTTATATCACGGAATAATAGAAATAAATTTTTTATTAGAAATAAAAACTGTTATCCTAAAAAATGTACACATTTTCAAAATCACCGGTTTCTATGTTATATATTCTACTCATAACATAATAAATTAAAAACACAAAAGTCAAATTTTATTACAGTGTGAGAATCAAATGTTATAAGGATATTTTTAAACAATTACAAATTTATATTATGAAGAAATTACCTAATCTTCTAAAAAAGTACTTTTACTGCATCTTATTGGATAGTGAAGTCACTTGTAAAAAATTCTTGGGCAGTATTATTGTTTCCCTTTTTTTTTTCATTCCATACACTTATCATTGCAAACCTTTGGAAACACACCACACCTGTGATCAACTTATAATGTATGTGAATACTCTGCTATTTTTCTCATAGTTACAAAAAACACTAATTAGATCATTAATATAATCTGAACACCTCGACTATGGTATTTGAATCCAACTTGATCCTTAACTTCAGATATGTGATCCAACAAAACTTTGTCAGCCAAGGACACCATTCTCTGTATTCCATCTTCCAAGCTACCAATATATATTTTTATTCCTATGCCTTCCTGATAAAAACAAAAAAGGAATTTAATTTGCAACAAAATAATATATATACAGATCCGGTGGATCTGGGATTCCAGACGTTGGATAAACTGCTGTTCCTGCCCTGCAGAATTCTTTAAAGCAAAACAAAAATCAGTACACCTATACGATATGTATTAAACTAAATAATGGAAAGAAAACCATTTCTAACTCTGAAGTAATTAAAATAATTAAAAGAAGAAGAAAATACAAACATTAAATACTTGTTTCCATCTATTAGCAACACAATATTTTACCTGATAAACTGCTTCATACCATCACTTTTTGCTTTCAAATAAACAATTACACTAGTTAGCCAAGAGAGAAAAACATCCCAATCACTCAGCAAAGATTGAACTAATTTTAAGTTATCTAACAGCTTAGAAAATTATAACTCAAAATATTTTTGTTTCTTGAAAGCAGAAAAAAAATTAGCACCTTCAATTAGCATTTTTAGAAATAAAATTTCAATGAAATAGAGAAACTAACAACATAAACACACACACACACACATATGTTCAGTTTAATTACAAATCAAAGAATTCATTACAAAAAATTATACTTGAAGTATTCAGCAATACACCAAATTTTTTTTTTCACCCAAACCTTATTGGGTTTTATGCCAGATATACATGAAAATCACTAACATTCTTTCTAGATATTCATCAGCTTCAATTTAATTTGTTTGTTTGTTGTTAAGCACAAAACGACAAATTGAGCTATTTGTGCTATGCCCACCATAGTCGGGGCCATACCGAGGGTTGTGCAAGCTCAGTGCTTGCACAGGGCGCCAACTCAAAGGGGAGTGCTGACTGCCCGATTGACTAACAAAGCGAATTAATGGGTTGCATTGGGAAGTGCCAAATTTATATATATCACACAGGGCACCATCAAACATTGGTACAGTACTGACCATAGTAGCTAAACAGACTTTTCTTCTGTAAGAATAATAACTACAAAAAAAAATACTTGAAACATAAGGAAACCCAATAACATGAGTGAGGAACACCTTTCTGAGTCACTCATTACCTAAAATATGATATGTAATTACTTAAATACAAACTGACCAATTCTTCCTGGGGTGATAATGCTGAGGGTTTCTGTAATAATGACATCCAAGTCCTAATATGTCAGAGTTTACTGGCACGGTTGTCAAAGGTTACTGATTGCCTTAATTTAAATATGGGACAGAATTAATATCAAATATTTTGCCTCAGCACTACAACACCATATAATTTATAATGCTAACATATGAATAGTACGTAACCCTAAAAGTATGGATAATGACCCATAAGTTTTAAAGCTAACTACTCCTATGTATGTTCCACAGAAAATGAGGGATTTCACCAATTTTGTTTTGTCACTTCTTTACACTGAGTATTGTAACAAGCATAAACATATAATTTCTCAATATGATGCAGTTTGTGACTTCCACCGATAGTGAATGACATATAAACAAATCAGTGGTTTTCTGACAACAATTCCTGAAACAAGAAAAATCTTTCCTGTTATGTTATTGAAAAGTTAAAATGTAATTCAACATACATAATGATACGGTCTGAAAATTAATTAAGCATCCCTAAACTCACAATTGTATTGTCCTAAAAAAACTCATCTACTTAACATTCGACATGATGTAACACTTCTAAGTTAGGAATGGTATTACACATCAGGCATCTGCATCATTATTTCACTTTTCAACTCTTAAATCTCAACTAAAGTTATGGTTTTTTGGGAAAAAAAAACAATATATATGTAATATAGGTCTTAGAAATGTCTTTAAGAATACAGAAATAACCTTCTTCAGGATTGTTACCATCAGATACCTTCCCTATTTACTTTAATAAATACCCTCTGTCGACTCAGAAGTTACACAACTTGCAAGATTTTATGCGATATCTCTGAAGTTTCTTATGACGTAATAATTATACAAAATTAAACAATCTGAAAGTTTCATATACAACGTACTACCCAAACAATAACAATCTAATCATCATATTGTAGTAACATGGATTATTATATCAAAAAGTTTTAACCATTAAAAATATTTCACAACAAGTATATTGTAAAATAAAATACACACACTCCATTAAATCACATGATGAGTTTTTGAATTATTAATCCTAACACTGGAATAAATCACTAACCATGAAAACATCTTTTGTAACAATTATTTCTATCATTACTTTTCTAAAATCAAAGATCTTTCCTGCTTTACTTCACTTTAATTATCATCAACTATTTGAACTTATATCAAAAAAATACAATTTATAGTTGCACTAGTTGTCATGCATATGACAAAGGAAAGTTTAGCATTATGTAGGAAAAAAAGTGCCATCAGAATATACCTGCTTGGGAAAAAATCTTTGACAATAACTAATTAACAAGATATTTTACACCCACTTATAATTTAAGAAAAGTAGAATTTACTAGCTTTTTACAAAAGTTTAATATACTTGCTTTTTTGAATGAAAAACTGAAGAATGAGTGAGAAAATGAAATATCCTTATTTCCACTAGCACATTCTCCTGTTGAGGAGAGGAGTAAGCATATACCCCTCTTGGGTTCCCCCTCTTTTATCTATTTCTATGATTGTCCATCAGATATTTTATATATATCTACAGTGTTACATACAACATTAGAATGCTTTAAAATCCAAACAAGTTAAATCATAAATAACATACAATTAAAACACCTTTTTTTTTGTTTTACAGAATGAAAATAACATACCTTCTTTATTAGAACACTATACCCAATTAGTTCATGAATAACATACCTTCTTTATTAGAACACTATACCCAATTAGTTCATGAATAACGTACCTTCTTTATTAGAACACTATACCCAATTAGTTCATGAATAATGTACCTTCTTTACTAGAACACTATATCCAATTAGTTCATGAATAACGTACCTTCTTTATTAGAACACTATACCCAATTAGTTCATGAATAACATACCTTCTTTATTAGAACACTATACCCAATTAGTTCATGAATAATGTACCTTCTTTACTAGAACACTATACCCAATTAGTTCATGAATAACGTACCTTCTTTATTAGAACACTATACCCAATTAGTTCATGAATAACGTACCTTCTTTATTAGAACACTATACCCAATTAGTTCATGAATAACGTACCTTCTTTATTAGAACACTATACCCAATTAGTTCATAAATAACATACCTTCTTTATTAGAACACTATACCCAATTAGTTCATGAATAATGTACCTTCTTTATTAGAACACTATACCGAATTAGTTCATGGTTTGCTAACCTCTATTTTATGTAACTAACCAATTATTATTTAGATATGTAACAACAACAGCTTTATTCCCATTCATACAGTTCTTGTAGTTGGAAGTTATGCATTACGAAAATGAAATAAAGATAATGTAAGCATTTGCATGGATAAGGTTGATCCATAATCTTTTTTACATACTTAATGGTAGAATTGGTGAGACTAAGGACACAAATATAAATTTTGGCAAGGTAGGCATCACAGAAACTAAGACAATTTTCTTTTTCTAATGGGGTGACTTTTTGAATGTGTGGCTTTTAGATGTGACGGAAGCAGTACATTTATTGTAGTTTAAAGAAAGGCTTGATAAACATTTGAATGACAAGGGCTAGTTCTGAGTTAGTTTTTCTTTCAAATCATTTATTGTGAATGGGACAGCCTAGATGGATTAATAGGTCCCTTGTTGTCCTTAAATGTTACATATTAAACTGTCAACAGACCCGGGTGTGTCCTTCAGTTAGCACCTTTGACGCATATTTGACCACATGCAAGATAACTGTCCTAAAAAATCAGTATTAGTTAGTAAGTTTTTTACTATTGGGTTTTATCCTTGAGGTAAGGGAATCTTCTGATAACCAAACCAGTGCCTTATAATTATTTTAGACTTTAACACTTTGGATGTCAAGCATTTTCCCAGTAGTTAGCAAAATAAATAAAGTCCTTGAAAGATCACATCAATTAAGTCTTGTAGGAAATAAATTATCTGGAAAGAGTTCTTCCAAACATAAGTACAATTCACCAATTCTACAACATGAAAATAACACACAAACTTTAACATAAACCAAAACAGATCTGTGCTTATGGAATACTGCTTTAAGAGGTTGAACAAATGATTTCTGGGAGCTAATAAAAAAAGTAACAATCACTTCAATTTTTCTTTTTTTGGTTCATAAACACGCTCCATCAGGGCTCTTAAGATGTTCCCAGGTAATTTTTGGTGTTGATAAATGAGATTCCTGACAGCTTCAGCTGTCTGAAAAAAAAAACAACAAAAAACTAACCACAAACACTCTGGTATATATGCTGTAACTAACTGAACATGTCTATATAAAAAATATAGAGATTTAACAAAAACAGGAGAGAACAGTAGAGAAGTACAAAGGAGAGAATGGCAGAGTTGAAGGTGCACGAAAGTATAGTGGGGATGTAGCAGAGTAACCAAATTGTTCTACATTTCTTACAACAAAAGATATATGTCATTTTAACACTAAAGATGAGTATGTTAAGCTATATTTCTTGAAATAAGTGAAATTAATCAACAAAGAAATTCACTACACTTTTAACACGTCCTTGTGTGTAGTAAAACAAAGTTTGTTTTTTCACAGGTTTTTTGGCTTTCGTGTTACTGAGCACATTTTAAAAATTCCATTATATTATAAACTTTAAGCAATTCAAAATAAAAGACTTACTTTTTCTACCAATTCTTCTGGACTTGTATTTTCATCATATGACACAGGTTTACCGATGTATGTCCTGATGAAAGGAGAAAGAAATCCAGCTCTCAAAATCTCCATACATTAGCTGCTTTATATTTATTGCAAATGTAAGCAAATTAATGATAGCTGGGTATAACCTTATATTACAATAAGATTGATAATAATTTCTAAAAAATCCTTTATTTAACAGCACTGTACTACAGGTTTTCAGTAAGATAAACATAACAGATCCTCAACTGTACACCTTTTGTGCTGTTAGATGCTGATGATGAGATCTTTTAGTTAATATAAGAACTTGACAGGTTGTCAGAATACTTTTTATATTGGTTAATTATAATATGTCAGTTATTACGATGCATACTGCCTCACACACCTGCATACATTGATGATATAAAGACACATGGTTTGTGATAGTGTTTGAAAGGTTTTGTCAGCAGTAGCGTGTAGCACACAAAATGTATAGTTAAAATACAATTACATTCTTCTTATTGACAACTAATGTAGGGCCAGTAAATAAGTACTGGTAATATATTATTATACATTTAAATAATCAGAAGCAGGTCAAATAATATTACTGTGTTGTTTCCTGTTCCTACTTCACATGCTACAATTAGAACAATATTACTGTGTTGTTTCTTGTTCCTACTTCACATGCTAGAATTAGAACAATATTACTGTGTTGTTTCCTGTTCCTACTTCACATGCTACAATTAGAACAATATTACTGTGTTGTTTCCTGTTCCTACTTCACATGCTACAATTAGAACAATATTACTGTGTTGTTTCCT